ACGATGCATCTTATTTGCTGATGATACTAGTCTGTATTGTTCTGGAAAAGATCTTGGGCTGCTTCTAAATACAGTAGGAAGTGAACTCAAGATATTAAAAACATGGTTTGATGTAAACAAACTTTCCATAAATCTGCATAAAACTAAATATCTTATCTTTGGAAAAAGGGAAATAATAAAGACCCCTGGTAAAATCAGTATGGGGGAGGTAGACATTGAAAGGGTGTATGAAACAAAGTTTTTAGGAATCAATATTGATCATAAGTTAAACTGGAAAGTGCATATAAACACTCTAAAGACTAAAATTTCTAAACTCATTGCTATACTGTGTAAAATTAGAACTTCTGTAAATCAAAATGCTTTATATATACTGTACAATTCCCTCATCCTTCCATACCTCAGCTACTGTGTGGAAATATGGGGGAATACCTACAAAACTAATATAAAACCTATTTTTATCTTACAAAAGAAAGCCATTAGAGTGATCAGTCATGCCGAATACCTTGCCCCAAAAAATCCACTATTTATTAGACATAATATTCTAAAATTGTATGATCTTGTTGATGTTTACACTGCAGCTCTGTTATACAAGGCTCACAACTTCATGCTTCCTCACTGTTTACAAAAGATGTTTCATACTAGAGAATGTAGTTACAGCCTCAGAGGAACTGATCTGCTTCAGAAACCCAGAGCAAAGAGTAATACTAAGAGGAGATGTGTATCAGTCAAAGGAGTTGATCTATGGAACAGTCTATCTGTTCAACTTAAGGGCTCAAGAACTATTAAAACATTCAAAAAAAAGTATAAGTCAAATATTATGGAGAAGTATAGCACAATTGAATTGGACTAAGCTTAATAACTCGTGTTTATGGGAGGTCATGTTTTGTGCTTCATGTTACCATCGTTGGTATATGAGAATCTGTATATTGTGTCACCTATAACTTTGATCATGTATAACATAATTTTGATTTGTTGAAGTGCAATTTTTTTGGTGCCTCATGTTACCATCGTTGGTATATGAGAAACTGTATGTTGTGTCATTTACAATCTTGATCATGTATAACATAATTTTGATTTGTTGAAGTGCAAGTTTTTGGTGCTTCATGTTGCCGTCGTTAGTGTATGAGAAACTGTATAATTTGTCTTCTTTGGACGTATTTTCACATTGTATTAGGGGTTAGGCAGTATAAGTTTCAACTTCAGCCTAAACCCTTTCGGTCAGGTATTGTTTCGCACAAGGTCCTTTATGGACACATTTTGGTTCTTTTTTTTGTTTTCATTTTATTTTTATTTTCTTGTTGTAAAAAGTAAATGTGAGCCCTGTATCCGTGTGACCCGAGGTCGGGTGTACATATTGACCGAAGAAAAAATAAACTAACTAACTAACTAACTAACTAACTATATAACGGATCCGATCTAAATAAACTGTGTGAGCATTTGGAGGTCTATAGCAACAACCAATCAGAAAAGGCCTAATGCAGGTACCTTGCACCTTGATCTTGCTCATAACATCCCTCTCCGCCTCTGTGTGTGTTTCTGTCATGCCTATAGAAATTATATCCATTTACATGAACGAGGGAACTATCAATGTTTCCATCCAAATGTGTCTCAGATAATGCTAGTATTTGTAAATTGTAACTCTCCAAAATCCTGCTTATGTCCTGAACCTTGTTTCTCAAACTACAAATGGAATGGAATGATATTTGATAATGCGTTATCCCTCACTATAACAGTTTGTATTTGTTTTGAATCTTTTAATAAAAAATATAAGATTGAGCTGCAAACTAAACAATGTTGACAAACAGACAAGACAAACAAACTTTCACTCACTCACACACACATACACTATGTACACCCATTGCACTCAATCATGCCACTGAACTTAAGTTCATCAAGCAAAGGTTGCATTTTATCCATCGCAGCATTCATTTCCTCGCGTATTAGTGGTCCGGATAAGTGTAGACGCTCCTCTGGGTTGACGCTGCTGTCTGCTATGTCAATCCCAGTCACCAGCACAGCTGATGCTAGTTACACCCGAGCCCCGAACGGGGTAAGGGCCTAATGCTTTCACAATGGTGAAAACAAATGGTGGCGGTGCGTGACGGACGCGTCTGCGCCCGCCACTCACCACAACGTGACGGTTGCGTGCGTAAACTCAAACGCCTTAAAATTATGTATCAGGTGCCATTGAAACCTATATTGTTTTTATAAATAAAAAATCATTTTTTATTTATTTATTTAGGCCCGAGCCCCGAACGGGGAAAGGGCCTATTGTTTTTGCCCGAGAGATGTCAAATTCTGCATTTTGAGCCTTAATTTCACCCCCTGAACATGCATGAAAGGTTGTAGAATTTTGCCCAAACATCAGACCTGGTGAAAAATTTTATATTTGGGTGTTTATTTTTATGGGACTCAAAAAATGCCAGAACAGCGCCACCTACAACAGCCAATGGGAGTTTCAGAGGTCAAGTTTGTCGTAGAGCCATGAAATTCGGTACACATGTTCCTCCAGTCGAGACATGAAAAAAATCATTATTATGGCCCCACCCTCTGACAAACAGGAAGCCCATAAATGTCACTGAAAAATGAACAGCAATAATTTTCATACATGTCGGTTGGAAATCTTCTCCTCCTCGGCCGTTTCACTGATTTGCCTCAAAGTCGCTTCACATGATCTCAACACATGTACCTTTAAAATGACCAAAGGGATTTTTGATCAGTGAAACGTTGTTTGAGCAGCGGAGCGGCAAAATGTGACATTTTTTTGGCCGTTTTTAACAGTGTTAAATTTGCTCCCGTTTGTACATACAATGTCTGATTTTCACAAAACTTTAATACATTGTTCAGCTCTAAGGTCTAGGTCATTTGAAAGTGAAATGATTCAAATTGACACATTAGCGCCCCCTACAGACTTCAAAGTTTTATATGGGTATTTTCAAATTTAGTTTTTTCAAAATGTTTGAAATTTTGCGCATACATCTGTTTTGCCCTCTTGATTCAAAAAGTTAATAGGGCCCAAGGCTTATTTTTTACCCTGTTGCTGTGGTGACGACAAACTCCCCATTCATTGTTTGTGGCAAATGTATACCTCGCACAAACCAGCCTCAGCCGTTTCACAGATTTGCCTCAAAATTGCTCCACATCATCTCAACACATGTACCATCAAAATGACTTCAGGGAATTTTGATCAGTGAAACGTTGTTTGAGCAGCGGAGCGGCAAAATGTGACCTTTTTCGCCATTTTGAGGAAAGAAACATAGCTCCCATTTGCACAAACCAAGTCCGAATTGCACCAAATTTGAATCGGTTGTTCAACTTCTAGCTTTGGGTAAACTGAAAAGTTTAAAACATTAAATTGCAGCATTAGTGCCCCCTACAGACTGAGTCAAGATTTACATGGGTGAGAATGGCATTTACTAAGTCTGATTTGCACTAAACTTGACGCGGTTGTTCAACTCCCGGGCCTAGGTCGCCTGAAAGTGGAAACAATGTCATTGTCCTATTAGCGCCCCCTACAGGCTGAGTAAAACTTTTACATGGGGACACAGTGCATTTGGTTTTTCTGTTGTTTGATCTCATATTTGACCCACTGAACATGCACAAAAACTCACCATATTCTTTAATTATTTTTTTTTCTGTCAACAAATGAATTATTTTTATGTCTTTGATATAAGACTAAAAAAATGTATTCGTAGGGGGCGCTATTATTCAAAGTAAATGACCGATGCAAGTGATTATGGACATTTTTGAGCCGTCACCCGCCCCCACTGGGTTTTACAAAGGCGGCGTGAAGAGAAGATACACAACGACAGCAGATATCATTGGGAGTCGGTGGAGAAGTCTCGTAGAGGGCTCAACACCCGACCTTCAAGCTCAAAGGCCAATGCTCTACCAACTGAGCCACTGTCGCCCAGTAGTTCAGTGCCCAAAATGAGCTATATAACACCGATTTATTACAATTTTTACAATCCATGCGGTCCAGTCAAGTGAACTAAAGTGGACCTTTTAAGTCTGGACACCCCAGATTTAACCTGCTTTGTCTTGTGAGACGGAATGTGTTGTGACTTGAGAGGATCATTATCCTCTAGTTGCGAGTTACAGGACATGCCTGAGCGTGAGGCCTCAGCACGTTCCTATAAATCTGTCTGTTTTTACTGGAGTAATCCATCTGAAGGAGGCAGAGCTTTTCAAAATACAGTCACTCCACACACATGTGTCCTCTGCATTTAACCCATTCCTCAATGCCTCTGTCTGGAGTAGTGGTCGCTGCAGGACAGCGCCAAGGGGCTGAGCTTCAGATGCTCTTCTGGACTGGAGTTGGAGAGTTTTAGTTTCTCCCCCTATATCAAGGGACCGCAGTCATTCAGTGGAGAAGGCTCATGTGGTCTGCTTTGTCCTTCACCAAAACTAACGACCATAGCTGAGGCTTTGGAACTGAGTAGTGACTCTAGAGCTCTGACTGCTGATGCTACTCGCTCTTCACCACAACAGATACAGCCACTGCATCACTCCTGAAGCTTTCAATCTCACGCTCCAACCTTTCCTCACTGAGAAGAAAACCTGAGAGACTGGAACTCTTTAGAACTTTATTTGATAAAACCAACAGGATGACATAATCTTCACACAACTCGTACTGTGCTTCCCACTCCGAATTTTGTTCATAACCAAATTGGAGACAAGATTTTTCCAAGACACATCGTAGTAATAATTGTTTTGTATTGTATGGGGGAAAAAAAGACTCCCAAAGGAAAGTCAAATATACAGGTGTGATTTTACTTTAAAGGTACAAAGAGGAACCACGTTTGGCCTAATGTCAGCACATCTGGATCCTGTTGTGTGCATGCGGTTGAGCTAATAAGTTTGTGTGTAAGTGTGTGTGTGTTTTCTGGTCACGTGTGGAAATGTCAGTCCCCCTGCGACTGTCAAGAGCGCTCTCTCTCACACAGCTCCAGTCTCTAAATCCTCAGCCAGGTCCAGTCTCTGAACTCTTGGTAAAGATCATGTTGGCTCCCACAGACCAGAGCAGAGATGGGATGTATTCCAAACTGATGGATGAAGAACCACAATATGACAACTTCTCACCGCAGCTCTCAGGTGTGACATCACATTACATCACAAACGTGCCATAATATTGTAAAAAGTTTGAGAACTTGTTTGTTGTTTTGGGCTGAGTGCTTTTGGCAGAGTGTGAGTAGTACTCTTTTTCATTGTCCAGTGCTTCATTGAGCTTTTTGCAAGCTCAATGAAGCCCAATAAGGAAATGCTCATGGGCAAAGTTTTGCTCCCACTCCTTATGGCTCCTACTGACTGACATGTAAAAGTAAACTCCTAGTTACGTTTGTTTCACTCTCACCATTTTGGGCTCTCTGTGATCCTGGTGTTTATATCATAATATTGCGTTTGTAAATCCATACATGAGCTACATAAGGCTTGACCAACCAGATGCCTTAATTCAGGGGGGAAACACCTTGCCTTAGCAACTGTCTAATGGAGAGATAATCACTCTCGACAACGTCAGCATAGAACCCAGCAACACTTTGAGGAATCTTTGACTCGTTTTCGACAAAGAACTCTCCTTCAAGGCCTATATAAACCAACAACTAAAACGGCATATTTCCAATAGCGGAACATCGCTAAAATCAGGAAATCCTTCCTAAAAATGACACTGAAAAACTTACAAAACTGAGGTGACAAAAGCATTTTGTCACCTCAAGGCTTGACTACTGTAACGCTTTTCTGGCAGTGTGCCCTAAAACCACTTTGAAGAGTTTCCTGCTCATTCAGAATACAGCAGCAAGGATCTTAACAGTCAACAAAAGGAGGGAGCACATAACTCCGGTGTTAAAATCACTTCACTGGCTTCTCGTGGAGTACAAAATAAAGTTTAAAATCTTTCTTTTAACATACAAAGCCATAAATGGCTGGACTTAGTGTTCTAGTGGGCAGCTCCTCCAGAGTCAGAGTGTCCTTCGTCAAGAACAGTTCACAACACTCAGGAATTGGACAAGCAAGTTCACAGACACAAAAATATGTCTCACTGAGGTTTCAAGTCTCCATCAATCAGTCACATTAGCAGCATGTCACCATCTGAAAAACATTGCCAGAATCCAAAATGTTATGTCTAATACAGATTAAGAGATTCTCTCATCTGTGTTACAGAATTGACAACTTCATAAAGTCCCCCGAGATGGCTACTGTTGTAATTTAGGGCTATACAAAAATAAATTTAATTTAATTATCCTGCATTTGTCTCCGATAGGTTAGACACCTTTAATGGGCCGCTCACTGGTCTCACTGTCAATTAAACTGTTTTTTGCAGGCTAAAACTGCAAAAAATGCTGTTTTAGCCTACAGTCCTACATGACAAAATCACATGACATGGTTCCGGCATTTTTATTCTTGGTTGTGCTCCAGGGAGAAGTGATTTTTAAAACGAAGACACAGAGAGTGCTCTGTCTTTGCTTTCAAAACCACATCTTCCCCAGGAAAGACTGCAAACCCTTTTGATAGTACAGGACACACCTTCATATGCAGATAGGACATGAAGACCCAACACAGCAAAGAACAGTGACAAGAACTTCCTTGTTAGCATGTTCAAAAACTTGCTTCATCTGGCGGCAAAGTGAATTACAAAACAACCTTTCAGTATACAATATATTTAGCCAAATGGGAATTATTAAAATGATAACATGAACAACATTCCAATTACAGAAACATTCTGTTCCTGTAATTGAAATTCTGTAATTTTTTATGGTATATTTTAAAGAACTATTTTGGCACGGTGGTTAGCGCTTGTGCTTCACAGCAAGAAGGTCCTGGGTTCGATTCTACTTCCAGGCTGCGTAGATTTTCCCTGGTTTCCCCTACCACTAAAAATATGTTCAATAGGTCTGGCATGTTCCTCTTGTACAGCGAACCCACTCCCATCTCTGTTTGGAGTGACAGACAAATGTCCAAAACTATTGTAAGGCGGCTGTGACTCTGGTTTGTTAAATGCGCTATATAAATGAAGATTTCTCACTAACTACTTTTTAATGAACTGTGATTATTGTTTTGTTTGAATTTAATAATTGTAAAAGTCAAAGTTAGGGCAATTACGACTTCAATGACAAAAGGAATAGAGCTCTAGCCCTAGAGTTAGGATTAGAATTTGCTCTTCTAGTCTTTATAACCTGTACCCTGGGTCTAGACATATATCTTCTCCCCACACATATATGATAAACAGACTTTGTTAGTAAAAAATATGTTGTTACACATTTATCAGGCACTGTTTGGGAAAATTCTCAAAGCGTTGTTTCTAATGAAGGTTGTTTCTGCAGTGATTCCATCTGTGGTGCGTCAGGGAGGATCCAGGTCTGGTCCATGTCCAAGTCCAGGTCCAGGTCTGGGTTTCAGTCCAGGTTTGAGTCTGTATAGAGCCTCCACTGTGGCTTTGGCCACTCTGTGTGTGATCCTACTCATCTGTGTCATTGCCGTGTCCACCCACAGTGAGTACTACTACTATAAGTACTAGTGCTGCTATTACTACTCCTACTGCTACTGCTACTATAACTACAACTACTGCTACTGCTATTACTACTACTGCTGCTACTGCTCCTACCACTATCACTGTTATTACTACCAGTGCTTGAGGAGAACGCTTTCATAATGCTACATGGTATTGAGAATAAAGAAGATCTGAAAAGTTTTCATCCTTGGAGTCATCATGAAACATCTGCAGTAAAAGAGTCAAATTATGAGAAACAATAGGAAGTCTTTCTGAGGGACTCCTTCAAATTACCAAATATAATTTCAACAATAAAACTCCCAGAGCAGTCACTTTGGACGGCTTTAAGTATTTGAAACGTAATTACTCCTTTTCTATTTCTACATGTAGTTTTTGAAGTCATTACATTGGAATTATTTTATTTTGTTTTTAAATGTGAGAAGTTATACTTGGCTCTATTCTACTCTACTCCTCTTGATTATACCCAGGCTGAGCTGGCACTAAAGTGTTATAACCAATAGACTGGCTAGTGTGCTTCTGGAAGCCATGGAAACCAAGTTTTGTTCACAGTTTCTGTTTTGTTGTGTTGGTTTCTGTTGCGGGGATCAGGGAGCACGCATTGAGGGAGCGTGCACGTCATTGTAGCTCACTGCGAGCACAGTTTCAGGTGCTTCTATTTACCTAATTAGAGCATGCACTCAGAGAATCTCAATGACATTGTCGCATCAACCTAGTGTGAAACAAAGCCTGTAAAACTGCCTTATAGGCAGGGGTGCACATAACTTTTTCAGTGAGGTTCTCAGATGAGTACCAGGAGATGGTGTTTGGTACTCACTCCATTTGTCGCATGGTTCTTTATTGAGATTTTATACTTTCTTCTTTTCAATGCTAAAGTTTAGATCAGCTCAGATAATCCACTCAATCCAAGTCAAATAATGACTCACAGGGCTCTTTCCTAAAAATGCAAAACAAAACAAAAAAATCAAACAATGTTCTGTTTGAATTGTTCACCACATTTTACTTTTGGGCACAACCAACATCATTATGCATTATTAATGCAAGGCAAAATGTAGGTACCCCAGCTTTAATTTAGAGACACGGGGAGGACATGGACACTCCCTTAAGGCTCCATAGTCCAGCTCTGTTTCTTGCAGTAACACAATATGTATTTATTTATTTTGCGTTACGCAAAGACACACACTTGCAACAAGCAGAGAATGGTCCGCGTTGGGTACATCAGTGTTTTTCAACCTTTTTTGAGCCAAGGCACACTTTTTTCACTGAAAAAATCTTGCGGCACACCTCCAGGAGAAAATGTAAAAATGTATACAGTACTAATGTAAAAAAATATATACTGTACATACTCTGTGTACAGTATATACTCATACTCTTATAATGTATACAGTATACTCTGTAGCCTATATTCACAATATACAGTTATTCTCATCAAAATGCTTAAGTCCAGGCCTTGACATTAAGCTTTATTTAATATTTCTCGATACAATTAACAAGAGTTTGGGAATAAAGTGGCACTAACTGTGTGGAAAAAAACTAAGAAAATCCACTCTCTGCCCAAATAGTCAAATAATAACTCACACAAAGAACATGCATTGTTAGTGCATGGGAAACATTTTGGTATCCGAGCTTTAAATTCAGGAGTTTTGGATGAGGGACACGGGAGGTCCTGAACGCGAGTCCATGGTTCTGTCCGGTCCGCATGTCTGTGGTTCTGTCCACTCGACTACGGTCTGCGCTCGGTACCCAGTTCAGAAGTGCGTTCGCGAGAGCTGTTGTACAAAAATGGTACATTTCATAGTTAAACCACTACAACGCGGCCACAGCTACCCCGGGGCAGAGCGGAGGATGTTAATCCTGTTCAGAAACGGCATAATTCATTTTCAAAAACGTCTCTATCACTTTCACTTCTCACTCGCCACAAAGCTCTTGTCTCGCTCCCTCCCACATTTGTTGGTCGCATCCAATTTTACCTTTCTCGCCACAATGCTGACCTGTTACAGCCAGCGGTCGCATCCAATTTTTCAGTTTCAAAGTACTTAGCTATCTGCTGCCATCTACTGATTTGAAAAAGTATTACATGGTTACTCACAGTTCAAAACAAGTCACCGCTCGTCAACAGCGAATGCAGCTATTTTTAGACAAAGTAGACAAATTTCTCACGGCACACCAGACAATATCATACGGCACACTAGTGTGCCGCGGCACAGTGGTTGAAAAACACTGGGGTACATTATGACCATGCTCGGCTTCGTGCTCGCCGCGTTGATGTCAAGGAGCCTCGGAGGATTTGGAATCCCTTTCGAGTACATACAGCAAACAGCAGCAAGCGCCCCGCGATCACGCACACCCTCTCTGGCTGTCGTGAGTTGCTTAAAAATAAAACAAGCGAGCTCGGAGTCCAGTGCTTAGGTGGGTTTATTTTATATACTCTCAGAGTGCAAAAAAATTGTGAATGCAGTGCAGAGCATATTTACAATGAAATTAGCACACACAAAAAACAAGTTCACACTGACCCATAGGTCACCTTTAAGCTTCAACTTACCTCCTCTGTAACCAGCGGCAGACTGTGCCAAACACGGCTCCTGGCCCCTCCCATTGAGCAAATTATTTTGGTAGAAATTACATTACATTACGTCATTATACTCTCAAAACATGTACATTACATGGGCATAATTCCCATTTAACCCACCTGGAAATAGTGTCCTGGTTTGATCCTCGCGCACAGACCCAGAGGAGCGCGACATACCGGTAAGTGTGTAAATTTATGCTTGAATGTAGTTCTGACCTGCACAAGTGTGCACCTTTGGCGAACTAGTAACTGAGGGGAGAGACGGACGAGAGAATGGATGATGCGTGTGGATGTTACGTATGAATTGTACGGGGGAAAAAGGGTGCGCGAGTGTGGAATGGCGTTTGTGTCTGTGGCGCGTGAGGCATGAAAGTCAGTCTTTAGTATAATACTATATTCGCGCACGTACCGCTCCGTCGCACACTGGCATTGCACCACGCCCCCCTAGGGAGGAGCACTGGTCTATGGTCTATGTCAGGGGTGTCAAACTAATTTTGGTCCGGGGGCCACATACAACCTAATTGGATCTCAAATGGGCCGGACCAGAAGATGCTCTACAAAATACCCAAAAACGGTACAAAGTCCAACTTTTTGTGCACATGAACACATTTATATAAAACTTCCTTTAAAACACTGTCCTTTAATACTCCAATACTCACTTTCTGTTACAAACTTAAATGTAACAGTGAGTTTTTCATAGTGCAAATAATGTAATGTCTTTACCATATTACATTGAAAATGGTATTTCACAATATTTATATTAATATTTGTATGTTAGCTTTGTTTTAAGGCTCATTACAGAGAAAATTTGCTCACAAAGGTAAAGTAGGTAGCTAGAAAAAAGCACTTTAACACAGCACCTCAGCTTAACCATCTTCACTGCGGTAAAGTGGCCCCGCTTTTCGCCGGCAGCGGTAAAGAGGTCCGCACATTGAAAGCGGTTGGCCCCTTTATGCTGTTACTTACGGTAAACGTGAAAAGGGAAGCAGCGACGACGAGCAGACAAAATGCTATTTTTAATAAATCATCCAAAAAAAAAACGTTTTGCGACTACTTCCACCGCACACTTGTTCACTGGGATGCCCTCTACCACTGTCCAAAATAACATTCACTTTTACTGTAGAAATACAGAGAAAAAATTGGGCTTAAAGTGTGCATAATTGGTCTCAAAAGCACTTTTTAAAATTCATTTTTTTAAAATCTAAAGTTCCCTGACCATTTTCACTGCACACTTGTTCACTGTGATGCCTTCTACCACTGTGTAAAATGACATTCATTTTTACGATAAAAATTCAGAGAAAATTGGGCTTATAGTGAGCGTAATTGGTCTCAAAAGCACTTTTTAAGATTTATTTTAAAAACATCTAAAAAAGTTCCCTGACTACTTTCCCTGCACACTTGTTCACTGGGATGCCCTCTACCACTGTGCAGAGTATCATTGACTTTTACTGTAAAAATTCAGAGACAATTGGGCTCAAAGTGTGCAATTTTGGTCCCTAAAGCCATTCATCCATCCATTTTCTTCCGCTTCATCCGTTGCCGGGTCGCAGGAGCAGCAGTCTAAGCAGAGACACCCAGACTTCCCTATCCACACATACTTCCTCCAGCTCGTCTGGGGCAGTGGGGGCGTGTCCCAGCTCAAAAGTGGCCAAAATGACGTGCGCTGACATGCTTGCAATACCACCCCGGGCCGATGGGGGTGGACCCAGTAGAAGAATTAGTGCTAACATATAGCGTTGGCAGACCTCTCAAAAACGCCTTTACAGGATGGACCAAAAGTTGGCTCTTGGCCCAAAGCTCCGTTCCACATGTGTGTCAATGCTGAGGGGGGTGAATTGTTTTGGTCCACTCTAGTTTACTTGCTGTGAAGTTTTGAAGTCTCTCGTTCTATTTAATGGAGCTGCACCGGCTGACGCATGCACAGATGCGTTTTTTCACAATTTTCTTGTGGGCAGGACCACTCGTGGCCATTTTGGATTGCTCCAGTAGAGCAAAATTTTTTGGCCCATTACTTAGAACGGCGGAGATAGGCGTGACTCTGTCCGTTAATATATACAGTCTATGGTCCGGGGGGACCCCAAGGCGCTCCCAGGCCAGCTGAGGGACATAGTCCCTCCAGCGTGTCTTGAGTCTTCCCCGGGGCCTCCTCCCGGTGGGACGTGCCCGGAACACCTCCCCAGGGAGGCGTCAAAGAGGCATCCGGAACAGATGCCCGAGCCACCTCAACTGGTTACTCTCAACATGGAGGAGCAGCGGCTCTACTCCGAGCTCCTCCCGTGTGACCGAGCTCCTCACCCTATCTCTAAGGAAGCGCCCAGCCACACTGCGGAGGAAGCTCATTTCAACCGCTTGTATCCGCGATCTCGTTCTTTCGGTCATTACCCACAGCTCATGACCATATGTGAGTGAGGGAA